GCTACCACTGAGAGACGGAAGAGAAGGGAAAGAAAGTCGTTTACTAAACCTTCTAGTCAGGCTGACGACTGTCATACATGTGGTCTCACGGCAGCCAAGAGGGATGCTGCAATAAGTGGGTGCACAGCCAGTATGGCGAGGACATACCAGACCAATATTACACTTTCATGGCGCGCTACCCGTGCACCTGGTTCTGGTACGTCTGCCCATAGTGCCGTACAAGGCCACTGTTTTCTGAAAGTTCACTGGTGGAGGTTGTAAAAGACATCTCAGTGACTACCGCGATGCTGGCACCCACACAGACAACTACCCCAGGCCCAGGCAGCAAGAGTGTCAGCACCGCACCCCAGTCAGTCACACCGGCGAATAGTCCAAAAAGACCAAAATGACCACCGGGTACGCGACCAGCTACATTATTCCGCAACCCTGAAGCCACTTTAGCGGCTAACCCCACTGTGCAACGGGCAAAATGAGTGACAGTGAAGAAGGCGCGCCCTTCCCACAAAAAACCACCAACAGTACACAAAAATAGAGCTGATGACAGATCGAGTTCCACCATCTTATTTAACGTCCCTGTGTGCCATGACAGTCTCCTTGAGAACAGAGAATCGTTTGACAAGCGGCAATGCGAAACGTACGCACCACACCAGGACTGGGTAGCCTAGAAGCAAAACTGTGCAGGCTCTACAAAGGCAACTACCCACCTCGGGGAAAGCCTCCGCCGATGAGAGTTGCCCTAAGCTCGGCTAAAGAAGCGGAAATATTCTTGCTGATGTCACACTGACTAGTCATCTACAGGTCATCCAGCATTAGAGCCAGATCAGACCGCCCCTGGTCAGCAAGAAAAATATTTTGCGAGGCGCCCCAAACGCTGAAACCAACAACTATGGTTGTCCACGACATACCGGAACCGACAACCTGCACAGTCGTAGAAAAGTATACTCATGACGTCCAGCAATGACGGTGGTTGACAGCGAGGATGGGGTTAAATGGGATCGCAGCGGCGGCGGTCTGCAGACTGCCACCTCCCTCGTGTTTGACGACGATAACAGCACCCCGGTTGATTGCTGTTAACTTCGACTGCCAAGACCTTTTAACCAATTTACTGCAAACCTGGTTCACAGTAAAAGATAACGTCAGTGGGAATGTTCGCTGCTGTGAATGCAGGCTCAGGACACTGCGACAACAGCGAATGGCAGCACTGCCCACCGCTGAAGTCACCGTCACTGTCAACAGACAAGATGCATAGTCAAGCCTGGACTCTATGAAACCCGCAGAAACTATTGCGGAAAAAACGTGATCGAGCCTTTACAGTAATGTGAAGGGACTTAGAAGTAAGATGGGGAAATTACGATTTCTCTGTTCCTGCCTTGCTCCAACGATCATAATCCTGGCAGAAACTTGGTTATCACCGGACATTATCGGCGTCGAAGCTAGTGTAGACGGTATGCGTCTGTTCAGGAGGGACGGGGAGTTTAAGGAAGGAAGCGGAGTGGTGATGCTTATAAGTGATAACCCTAAAAGTGAACGAGCAACTGAAATCCTAATTTCAGGGCTCCCAGACTCCGTCTGGTGTCAATTTAAGGTTGGACGCATTAAGTGCCTGGTAGGAGGCGTCTACAGAATGCCTACCAGCAGCGTGGAACATAAACAACAACTGCTGCAAGTAATGTCCTGAGCGACGTCTATCGGATATGACCAGGTCATTATAGCCGGCGACTTCAATGCCCCGACTCTCAATCTTGGGCAGAATAAGGGAACCTCAAGCCGAAGGTTCGACCGAAACCTACTCAGCACCGCCAAAAAGGCTGGGCTGCACGAGAATATTGGTAATGACATTCACTGGGGGTTGGGCGGAAAGCCGTCCAAACTGGACTACTTTTTTATCGGTGACCCACTGCTGGTAGAAAATGTACAGGTTCAAACCCCCTTCGGCAGCAGCGATCACGGCATGGTAGTGTTTGATCTGGCACCCAACGAACAACTGTCATGGGAGGGATCGCGCCCTTGTCTTTGCTACAATAAAGCGAACTACGTGGTGATGAACCAATATCTGTCGACAGCACCACGGTCTCAGGAAGGGAGCAACCTGTCGGTCGACCAACATTGGGAACTGGTCAGAGATATTATCAGGAGGACTGTCTCCGGAAACTTCCCAGTAATCACAGCAATGCCGCGGAGGCGAACCTCATGGCTGAAGCGAGGCACTGAACGCCTTTTGAAAGCCAAGAGGAAAGCATGGCGCAAGTGGAGGACCTCCAGAAAAGAGTCTGATCACACCGTGTATATTGCCCTAAGAAATCGATGCAACATTAGAGTGAGGGGAGACAGGAGGTCAGTCCAGACGAACCTTGTCCAAAAGCTCGAGGCAAATCCCAAAAACCTATATCGGTTCATGGCAGGCAGAAAATCCACCAGCCGGGGGGCTTGCGTTCTGAAAGGCCTAGATGGAGAGAACCTCTCCGGACTACGGATTGCCAAAGCCTTTGGCTCCACCTTCGATACGCAACTCAATGCGTCTCCATCGAACCAAAATTACCAACTGTCCGACCGAAATTCAGCACCACTAAACGCAGTAGAGTTTCCGGGAATAAAGGTAACTCCTGCTATGGTCCTCGAAAAACCGTCAAAGCTCTGTGCAGGGAAATCACCAGGGTGCGATGACATCCAGCCGCCTGTGCTGAAACAATGCGCGGGTGGCTTGTGCGGTCCACTGTATAGCTGGTTTCAACACTCCTTAGACAATCACATGCTTCCACAAGAGTGGAAAAGTGCTATTCTGTCCCCCATCTTCAAAGGTGCAGACAGGCAGAACCCAAAATACTACCGACCCATAGCTCTCCTACCATTGGTGTCAAAAGTAATGGAGGTTATGGTAGATGACCATGTCAGGGAGTACTCAGAAAAGAGGGGAGCACTTAGTGATGCTCAACATGGTTTTAGAAAGGGTAGGTCCTGTGCCACAAACATTCTGGCTGCAGGCGATAAGTGGACGGCATGCTGGGACCTCCAAATTCCTGTCCATGTTATTTTCTTCGATTTTACTAAGGCCTTTGACACAGTTTCGCACACCGTGCTTATTCACAAAATAGAAAGGTTGGGCATCAAGGGACAAGTGCTTTCATGGTTGCAGGACTATCTAGACGGTAGGCAATTCTGCACAAAACCTAACAGTTTGCTCGACTTGGAGGACATCGTCATCTGGTGTATCACAAGGGGCGATTCTGAGTCCGCTGCTATTCCTTCCTTTTGTGAACGACCTCCCACTGAATCTCAGCTCTCCAATTCTACCCCACGCTGATGATGTTAGGCCACGGAGAGCTATGACGTCAGAAACAGAATCAAGTGCACTGCAACGTGATCTCAGATTACCGACAGAGTGGGTGGATATTAGTGGACTTGCATTTAACCTAGATAAGTGCCGAGCCATGTTTCTCCGCACCCCAGACTCTCAGAAGGTACCCCATTCTCTCTGTAAAACACAACTTTCCCGCACCACCACGGGGAAAGGCCTAGGACCAATGCTAACTGACAAGCTAGACACTAGCCCCTACTATCCAGGAGATGCCTACAGAGCCTACACAGTACTGCACTTCATGCGCGGACAGCTGGGTATCCTGACCCCGGAACTCTTTTTGAAGCTATATAAGACCTATATACGACCCTACCTAGAGGTACACAACGTCATTGTACCACCATATCTGAAAAGAGACGTGAACCTCCTAGAGAAAGTCCAAAGACGAGCTACAAAGGGCGTCGTGGAAATGAGGCGAAAACCATATCAGGACAGGCTGAGAGATCTAGGGCTCTACTCCCTAAGCTACCACAGACTACGTGGTTACTTGATAACGGCTTACAAAATGCTGAGTAACCCAAGTCATCCGAACAGTGGAATCCTACCGAACGGCCACTATGGCGATCCTCGTGGTAACACAACAAGAATCGCTCACCAGAGAGCGAAAACCCGTGTGCGATCACACTTCTTCTCCCTGCGAGTTTGCGGCCACTGGAACTTGTTGCCTGCCGAGATTGCAACTGCTCCGTCTGCTGACAGCTTCAAGAAGAGGTTGGACAGTTACACAGCGACGCATGGTTTGCGCTCATCCAACTGGGATGTGGACTAGGCTAGCACGACTTACTAACCCGGTACGACCAACCGTTACTGAACACTTTGTAAAACCACTATCACTGAAAAATTGGCTTGGCCCTATACTTTCCTGTGGACGTCCCTTCCAGTTTCCGTCTCCTACTAAAAGAATTACTATATTCGCATTCTTCCTATCATGTTATTTACTATTCTCCCTTCTGACTTTACGCTCTCAAACTTTAACAAAAGCTCTCCCTATCACCTACTCCCCATGAGCCTACCTATGTTTATTCTTTCTTGCCGTTTCCTTTTTCCTAATCTCTTTTATATATTATTCTTGTCCCTCTTTCCTTTTCTTTTTCTATTTTGTCTCTCTGCACTTTCTCTCCCTTGATTTCTCTGTACATATTTTTCATCTCCTTTTTACAACCAGTCCGACCAACTGTCTGCTGGCACGACATTTGAGGAACCCATCTGCACCACAGTCCTCGGAAGAAAAAGCAAACAAACAAACAACACTCCCTACAAATCTAAACAACACTTAACCGCCCGTCGGGCTAACCAGAACTACAGCAGTCGAGTGGGTAGACCTACTGCATCGGAATCCACCAAAGACCTGGAACCGTTCCGCGAGACCCAGAAGTGAGCACGAAGAAATCAATTGGTTTACACTAGCTCGTTAAAAGATATTGGATATTGCACCTTGAAACTCGGTGAGTTGAATAAGGTTGAACGCCAGAAACAACAAAACATGTAGCATATACTTTTATACAAACGAGGAAACAAATAAAACTTCGAATCGAGTTGAATGAACGTGGAGAGTCTTAAAACTGCCAGTTTAGTGGGTGTATGCAGTCAAAATTGTTCAATATGTGTTAGTTCACTGCGCGGTTTGATTAATTGTACTTAAGAAATGTCTTTTGTACGTTTCTTTCTCTTGCCTAATGTTTCCGTTTCGTTCAACAGACTTCCAGATTTGTCTACCTGAATCCACTGAGGCGTAGTGTTTTCAATGTTGCGAGTGCCTCCAAAGCTACACAGCAGAAAGATATCATTATCAATCCCACTTTTGAAGGCATTCAGGTATGTTTTCAGCAGCTAAACCAGCAACATTTAATTTCCGAAAATTCTTCTGCACTAGAAATAGTTCTAATGTGTTTCTTAGGGACGTTAAGTTTCCATCTAATACTTGAGCTTTGTTGTTAATACTGCCCATTCAGCAACTTTCTACTCCGAATGAAGTAAAAAAAACGATTTTTCAAGGGAAAACCTAGAGCTGTTTTGTAGCATTTTTAGGTTTTCAAAAATGTGCTCCGTTCTGAGGTGACATGTAAATGGTGTATCAAATCAAGTTCCAATAAACACTTTTCACCTCATTTACAGTATATTGCCATCAAATATATAGAACTTCGCATCGGAGTACCTTAATTCAAGTTGCTGTGGTTCACATCTACTTAAAAATAATAAACCGTCAACTTAAACGATTGTTTAATGTATCGTGTTCAGGTCAGACTTGTTACAACATTGGTTTGTCTCGGGGCTCTGATTTTTCATTGGAAAAGTTTTCTGGTTTACATTTCCCTTTCAACTACATGTTCACTTGGACGTCAGGTTTTTAATCGGCTGTAAACTAAATCACGTAAATTTAAATTACCTGTTAACGTTTATTATAATCGGGAATGATACTTCTAATCGATGGTTTTCCAAGAGGTTTTACGTTAAGTTCCAATACGTTCACTTAGGTCTAAACGGTCGGATATTTCCAGTAGTCAGCTACTAGTATCACGCATAATCTACCACTCAACTTGACAATGTCGCTGTGTCACATCTCACTAACAGTTGTCATCAGTTATAATGAATGTTACTTTTTGTTTTCAACAAAAGTTTGTCTTAATTATTGCCATGTTTTCAGCTTGTCAGTTTGCCCCATCTGTCATCACGTCTTGGTTTGTCACGAATAGCCCTTGTCATAAAGTCTGGCCCTAAATATGAATCATCTAAAAATCGTGGTATTAGTCATCTACTCCGTCGATCTTTTGGAATTTCTACGCCAGACTTTACTAGCGTAAACCTGACAAGACACTTCCAACAAATGGGCGCCCGTGTACAGTAAGTATGTAGCCTTTTTGATTATTGTGTATTTGTGCTCGGTCTCGGTCACTTCTAAGGATTATACTTTCCATGTCTTGTTTGATTATAAAAGCGTTTGTTCGAACTTATGATTTTGATATCAGAGCTTATGACTAGTAATTACTAAATCTCATCACTGTTTATGCATAGATGTTAACCGTAACGTCCGAAATATCCTCAAAATGATTGCAGTTTCCCCATGTTTTTATACAGTATTTAGTTGCTTTTGAGAGCATCTCATCATGCAGTCACCTGCTACAAGAATATGTTGGCATTTTTCTACTGGAGTGCAACCGATGTATATCGCTCTGGTTGTTAGTGGTCACAGGATACAGTTTTGAGTCTCAAGTTGTCTGCCCGCTTTAGAGTCAGCAACTAATTCGTACTATAACCCCTGATGAAACCTAGGATTTTTATCAATTACTTGTTTTCCACTAAATTTGTTGGACTGATTATCAGTCTTTTCAGCTTTTGCTAAGTCACATGACGGTGAAATGTTTTGATCCTACTTCTTATCATAACAAAAGGTATTCTTCTTTTCTAAGTTACTGGAAAAAACTAAGGAGCATGTGATTTCCTGGGTATCTGACTTTGATTAGTTGCGGTCTCCCGTTCTTATATTGTAGCAGTTTGACTACAGGATGTATCAAAGTTTGACAGTATACTGAGAAACTAATTTCATTAGTTTACATTAGTTTTTTTTTACTGTTGACTTTATATCATCACATTAATTGAAACCATTCTGGCAAACGTAGACTTTCGGTTATTCCCATTAAGTTAGTCAGTCGCCCATCTCCATTTTAGCTTGATTTGTCTCGAGGTGATATTTGGATTAGCATTGAACTGAATGATGACAAACGGGCAGTTATGTGAGCTAAACTGTCAGTGAAAACAGGGAAATAGAAACTTCGTTAGCATTTGATTGTAGGGGGTTCAGTCTGTAAGGTATTGAGTCAGTAACCTAAAGGGTGCTGGTTGCTGTAGTGACACAGGTTTTCGTTTTAATTTCACTCACCGTCCTACTTTGTTAAACGAATAAGGAAGTAAAGGTTAATAAAACGTTCAGAATTCTTAAGATGGCACAAAGTGTATACGTCTACTGCACTGAACTGTATTGGCTGCACCATATTACCAAAAGTCTCTAACTATTAACTCTTGTCATCTCAAAGACTTGCTACGGAGCTCTACACCTTACTACACTGTTCAGGCTGGTAGTCAGTGACTTCGTGGATTGGTGACAAATCTTGGTCTGATCACCGTTATTATTCTTCTACTTCACTCCTGATTCGTCTAACATGGCGCCGGGGCAGGTGGTGGTTTATTATGTAACATGCCCATGCCAAGCCAATCAGTGAAGCGTCCAATTGCATCAGCCGACTTGCCTTCTTTACGTAGTACTTTACACCTGACATCGACATTGCCGGCATGGTGATAGCATTGCTGAATAGTACATTTGTGGTCATTAAATCATAGCCCCTTTTTATCGTCCACCTTCAAAGCCCTCTCACTCAAAATTTCCAGAAGACTGCATCCGTGTCTGCGTAATCCAAATCAACCAGGTGCCATCCACAAAGTAAGTCAACCACTGAGAAGTCGGAAGTAGATAGAATTATGTCCATTAGAGCATTCGTAAAAAAGTTGAGTAGAAATGATGACATCGTACATGTTTGGAGGATACAGTTGCTGAATGTTGTCTAGCACCGATGTCTTCTCTATATATAGCTTTTGTCACCTACCACTAATCGTGGTCGTTACTACGAACCTTAGTTAATTTACGTTCAAGCTGCTTTTACTGCTCTTCATGACTGAAACCAATTCAAACAATTCTCACATCAATCTGTTCGAATAAAGGCATTAAGATCCATTTTTACTAAACTATTGGTCTTATAGTGGTCCGAATGTTACGCAAGTGTTTATTTGGATGGGAGTTACTGACATTCAAACAAATGCTTGTTTAATTCCTCCCTACATTAACACTTGTTTCTATCTGCCAGTCGTCGTATAAATGGCTTTACAGCTGTTGATTTCCTACACTCGCCTGGCTAACTAGTGAACTAGTTACTAGCCGGTCCTAAGCCCGGGTAAACAGGGAAGGTTGGGCATAGGGCTAGCAACCCTACCCCGGAAAACAAATCCAACCACTAAAGAAACTTCAAAGCACAAACAAAACATAAAAAGTAAAAACAAAATTATTCCTCACTGGAATCGGAGAGGCGGAATGACTCCAGTTGGTGAAAGTCTTCGGGAAGCCAATTGGCCGATGTGTCTTCTCTCTCTCAATGAAAGCGAAAGTAAACGTGGGGACATGGAATGTCCGCACTATGTTTAAACCTAGCAAGGCTGCCCAGATTGCAAAAGAGATGAGAAGGTATCACATTGAAGTGTTAGGAGTTTGCGAAAGCAGATGGATTGGCAGTGGACTCTCCAAACTGTCAACTGGAGAATCAATAATATACTCCAATATTGTCACCCAGAAGACAACCACGAGCACTGAGTTTTCGAGTGGCTATCATGATGTCCCCAAGAGCATCGAAGGCTCTCATGCAGTGGGAACCAGTCTCCTCCAGAATCATAACAGCAAGGTTCAACTCAAAAGGGAGGAGAGTCACGATCATACAATGCTACGCACCTACAAATAATGCAGACGAAGAGGAGAAGGAGGAATTCTAAAGACAGTTGCAATCAGTACTAGACAACACTCTACTCCAGTTGGCGATATCAGAATTCTAATTGGTGGGGTGACATGATTGCCAAACTGGGAGCGGACAACACAGAAAGAGAACTAATCATGGGTCGAGAAGCGCTCGGTGAGGTGATGAACGAGAATGGAGAATTGTGTGCAGAATTCTATGCATTCAACGGTTTGGTGATTGGAGGCGAGGCAGTGTGTTCAAGCACAAGGATATCCACAAAGCGAGTGACATGGATTTCACCAGATGGACACACTAAAAATGAGATCGACTTCATTTCAATCTCAAGAAAGTGGAGACGCAGCCTACTTGACACAAGGTCAAGAAGAGGAGCAGATGTAGGCTCAGACCGCTATATAATGCAAGGAACCTACCTTCAAAATCAGGTTGAGAGCCTTCAAGGAAACTGGTCATAGACCACAGTTCAAGTTCAACACCCGGAAACCGAGGGAGGAAACTACAAGGGACATTTTCACGTCAGTCATCAAGACAAAATGGGAGATATCTAGGAGCATCCCTGAAGAAATCTGTGTGGATGAGCATTAGAACTCTTTGAAAGCTATATGGAGAGAAATTTGCACAACCGTGTTAGGGAGGAAGAAGAAAGAAGATAAGGAATGGATCTCGATAGACACATGGAAGCTGACAGAGGAGAGGAGGATGGTGAAGCAGAAGATAAACCAGTGCAAGGATGCTCAACGACAAGAGGAGCTGAGCACAATGTATAAAACACTACACTGGACAAAGAAGTGAAGAAGAGTGTACGGAAAGACAAAAGACATTTCTACGACACATTGGCAAGTGAAGCAGAACAGGCTGCAGGTAAGGGAGACCTGACAACATTGTATCAAATAACCAGGTTGCTATCTGGGAAGAGATCAACACAGAGGAAACCAATAAAAGATGACGGAAATTTAATTACGGAAGAAGAGAAACAAAGAAAACGATGGGTTGACCACTTCAAAAAGCTCTTGAATCGACCACTACCACCACCTGCACTTCGTCCAGAAATACCACCTACAGCCCAGTCACACAACTACAAGTGAACACAACTCCTCCAACAAACGTCGAAGTCGTGAGCACCATAAAGCTGCTGAAATGTGGGAAAGCAGCAGGACCATATGGAATCCCTCCAGAAGCATTGAGAGCAGACGCAGAGACAACAGCGGACATGCTCACACCACACCACTGTTGCAGAAGGTCTGGAAGGAAGTAAAGGTACTTGCTGGTTGATTGGAAGAGGGGCTATCTTGTCAAGCTGCCGAAGAAGGGAGACCTAAGTGTTTGCAAGAACTGGTGCAGAATCACGCTCCTGTCCACCCAGAGCAAGCAAAATATTAAGCCGCATCATCCTGGAGAGACTAAAGGATGTGCTGGATTCAAAATTACCACCGGAACAGGAAGTACAGATCATGTGCGAACCAAATTGCAACGCTTTGCATCATCATAGAACAGAGTATAGAATGGCAGCCAACCCTCTACCTCAGCTTCATCGAGTTTGAAAAGGCCTTCGACAGAGTCGACCGACAAGTAATTTGACATGCAGTTGCTGCTTCAACACTACGGAATACCACAAACCTTTATCGATCTCATTCAACAACAGCTATATGAAGACTCCACATGCCAAGTAATTCACAATGGGAAGCTCAGCTCAGTGATGCCATCGAAGTGAAGTGAAGACAGGAGTGAAACAAGGCTGTCTACTATCACCCATGATATTCCTGATTGTGGTCGACTCGACTGGATCATGCAACAAACAGTGAGGAGCTGTGAGAAGAGGGGGATACAATGGCTGGACCGTGGGAAAGAACCTAGAAGATTTGGATTTCCCAACGATGACTTGTGTCTAATGTCACACAAACTTGAAGATCTACAGGTGAAAACTAACAAGTTGACAGAAGAGGCAGGGCAGCGAAGACGAGACTACAAGTGAACGTAGACAAGACAGAGGTGATAAAGATGCCAAACCAACAACAACAACAACAACAACAAGAAGCTGCAGTCACCATGAACGGGAGAAACTTAAAGGAAGTAGCCTCTTTCACTTATCTAGGCAGCACTGTTTCAACTACAGGTGGCGGCACAGATGAGGACGTTAAAGCCAGGATTGGAAAAGCAAGACAGACGTTCATTAACCTGAATCCAGTGTGAAGATCTTCTGCACTCAGCGTAAAGCGTGAACAACATCCCATTTTTCAACACCAACATCAAGTCAAGTCAGTGCTTCTGTATGGCTCAAAGACTTGGCGGGTTACAAAAGGGATTCCCAACAAACTACAGACATTCATCAACAACCGCCTACGCTGACTGGCTCGTTACTGAAGATCAGATCAGATGTCCAGAAAGAATAAGCAACAAGGAACTCTGGCCTGCAACGAACCGATCAAGAACCTATCGCTGAACAAATATGCACTGGAAGGAAGTGGAAGTGGAGATGGATTAGGCATACACTGAGAAAACCGACTGGGGACATCATACGCTCGGTAAGGCCATCGAGTGGAACCCAGATGGGAAGCGACGAGTTGGGCGTCCGAGGTGAGGGTGACATGGAGTAGATGGTGTGAGGAGGAAATGAGAACTTGTGGGCTGTCGTGGAGCCAGGTTCAAAAGATTGGCTAGAACAGAGTGGAATGAAGACGTGCTAGTGAAGCCCTGTGTTCCATTAGGAACCCAAGGGAAAAATAATGTAATCAGCTGCAAACAAATTCGCACGGACTAAAGCAATATTTGCGGCTAAGTGAGACTTTTATAGCGCCTTACTGTCACTTGTTATAGACTTGTCGTGACTACTTGATATAGTCTGAGTTATGTATATGTGGACGCTTGGATAAAAACCTTCAGATTCCACCCCTTGACGGTCGCTCAGTTTGTCGAAAGTGGAAAAGGCGGTAATATAACGGTGTATTGCAGTCAACAAATATCTACAAAATGTAATGGTTTATACATATTTACACTGACCTTGGCTGTTTCCAAGCCTTTCTAGATTTAAATATCCTACTGATTTTCACCCCTTCAAACAATCTGACACTTACACGTTAATTCTCACATTTTTCGCGGAACTTCGAAGTAAAACGATTGGTCAGAAAAAGAGTTAGGGCTTTACGTCTAATTGTGAAGGTTTTATAATATTATTTCACAGAATAATAGAGACGATATCTCACGTTGTATCTGAAGTTAGTACTGAACGAGAACATGTGATTTTCAGGACAAAATTGCAGGAAATTGCCACAGTTATAGCACCATTGGCATGGAATTCCTTAAGACTTTCCAAGAAGCCTTTCCGACTGGTTCAGCTTCCTTCCTTTTGCCTAATAGCCTTCTTTGGCTTTTATATTATTTTCATTTCTTTGTCTTTCATCTTTTTTTGCATGTCGCTGTGCCGTTGTGCGGTGTTGCGACTTCAGCCGTTTCGCAGTTATTGTACGTTTCAAATAGATAAAGACCGACTGATTTGAACGTCAAACTCACACAACAATATGTCTGTGTCTAGGCTTTTTGCATTTCAGGAAAAGATTAGTAGATTTTGCTAAAGCTCAACCCGTTTTGTCATCCAAACTGTAGACAGGTAGCGTGTATGTTGTGATTACAAAGAGTTATTGAGTGGCGTCACAGTTGTTCCTAATTCTTACAGATCCATTCAGCTGGACAGTATGGGGACGGCTGTCGACTTGTATCCATGCAAGAAGTGTTTTTTTTCGCCCTGGAACTTAATGAGTTTATGTGAAGTATCCACCGAATCTATCGACATTCATGTCGTGGATTTAGCAGATTCACCATTTTGACCAAGTGAGGTCAAATGAAAAAGCGCACTTCGGTCATCTATGGCTTAGAAACAGCAAGTATTTATGACTCCAGTTTCCATAGTTTTGGCAAGTCAGGTCTGTTATCCGGTTTGAAATAGGGTGAGGACGTTAAAAGCTCCTACATGTGGTTGGCAGCGTGGTCTTAGGAGAACAGGGATGGTGTTTTGCCGGCTGGTATTATTGGGAATGATCACAAGGTATAAAGTTCAGAATCTGTATGATGGGAGGGCTATACACATTGGCAGTGAGGACAAGTAATAAAGCCAAAAGAAATTAGAAAGGTAAATAGGGTAGGTTATAGCCAGTTGGGTTTTGTATGCCGTTGGAAACATGGGAGGTGGGAGAGAGTGGATCACTGCCTCTTGGTTGTCCACCCTGTGAACGGTGAAGTCCTCTGTGAGTACTCGAAAAAAAGTAGATTAGTTCTGTCTAGCTAATGGTCGTTTAAACAGTTCTTTAGGAGGTTTTTAATTTAATATTGATTGTGTTGGGTCTCTGGTTTTAAAAATTTTTCACTGCAGACCCCAACAATCAATGGGTCGAAGAAACGGTATGTTTTTTCTGGGGTGGATGTTTTCTGACATCTAGTGCAGTACTGTTTTATCCTATACCCACGCTCCATCCGTTTGTGGATAAGTTTGGATCACTGCCGCTAACTAGATTTGTTAGCAGTTAAAAGATGTCCAAAAAAACCCGGTTATTTCTCAATATTTAAATGAATAAAGACTCCAGCGAACAAATTTACCTTCGGTGATATCATCCTTCATAGCTGTACAATCTCATTTAAATATAGTTAGTGTACATGAAAATGTCAATATCTGTTAGTCAATAATTGTTATTAGTTTGTGGTCATGAAAATGATATGAGTGGAAATTGCGTAAAAAATATGAAAGTATTTGATAATGTGAGTAAATTTGAGTTGAAATCATGAAGTAAAGAATTCGTCACAAAGTGAGCAGACAGTTGTCAGTGAACAAGATAGTGCAATATTTGTAACAGCTAAAAGAAAATCGTTTATGTAATAACAACATGAAAGTTGAAAGATTAGTTTTAAGAACTGAAAAGTAAATAAAGACAGGTATTATTAAAGTGGTTTGTAGGTACACAATTCTATTTTTTCGATTGTTGTATTGCCAGAGCTTCAACAATGCAAAGTAAGCGTTTCCACACACCCTTCAAAAGATTACGTTGTACTTTATAGACTAGTGCAAACAAATCTTCTGGAGTTATGTCTGCTGTCAAATGTTTTGATTTGGAGCTGTTAATCGATCTGTGTTGACCTTTATTAAACCATGTTGGATGGTGTTGACGTCTACGTTGAGCCATCTGCCTCTACGTATAGCTTATGTACCTAGCTCCACAGGAGCAGGTGACGTGATACATGCAAACTAAGGTGGCTAACAGTGGCAGTTTCTCCTTTGCACACGTGTTCACCACCTAGCGGCTAGTATAAGTGATTTGCAGAGTGGCTGCATAGAATGTTCTTCTGATAACCTTCATTAGTCTCCGTTTTAATACCTCATCTTCTCCATCTGTATTGATTCCCAAGCTAAAATATAGGTTTTTCTCTTATATAGTGATAGAAAACTGTTGGGTATCGTCCCGATATAAATTTCTATCTATGAATTTCTCTGGGTATCCATTTCTGATGAACGTCGGTCTTAGAAGTTGAATTTTGTCTTCTGTAGTGTCGGTAGTACAAATCTTCCGGAATCAATGGAAAAGGGAATGAATTAAATTTATTTTTCGACTGATAGAAGCCCAGCTGTGAAAGGTCTTGTCATTCGCCTATTCCACGTAATTTTTCGATAAATGGATTTTTTAAGCAGCCCATCGTCTTTTCTTGGTAACAGTACGTCAAGGGGTGGTATCTTTATGGTTCCATCTTCGTTGTAAAGTTGCTGGCGCGGTGATATTCATTGAAAAACTAAACGTACACATTTCTGGTTAAGTATTTTCACCTGAGCTTTTGTTAAAGATCTGCATAAATAGGGTATCATTATGTTCATTAACTTGCGTAAAAAACTGAGTTTTCGCTCTTAGCATGTGACCAAATTTAATTGATATGCTTTTAAATTTGTGTTGGAACAAGTTTTAGAATTAAAAATAACTCAAGATTCAACTATTAGACATTGTTTATTCATCTATTTACTGACAATCGTCTTTATCTTTAGATGTAAAACAACTCGTGAGCATACTATCTACACAGTAGATATCGCGCCTAACTTTGCAGTACGAGCTGGTCACCTTTTATGCTGCATGGCTTTTTCGCCTTGTTATTACGCTTGGGAACTACAAGATATTGTCTACCGTTTGATGCGGAAAGACGTCGATATTCTCAATCGACAAAATCTAAGTGGATGTGAGTGTAAATGTTTTCGATTTCTCTTTTTCTCCCGCATGTAAAGTTCTTTGTGTATTCCTACTCCAATATTTTCGTGAAACGTTCTAATTAAAAAGTTTCGAACAATTCATCATATCATTTTCCATCTTTACTTTTATTTAAAGTGAATATGGAGTTACTCCATGAAGCAGCTTTCGGCACTAGTGATTCAGGATGTGGCTTAGGATACTCACTGATTGCTCCGGATGACCGTGTTGGATCACATTCCATTAATCAAATAAAAGAATATCATTCAAGTAGGTTTACCGCAGGCAACTGTGTTTTGGGTATCGCACATGCAGATCCAAATAACGATGGAATGGATATACTAAACAAATTGAAAAGTGTTATTCACATCAACCCACCACTACCTGAAAAAAGATCAGCAGTGAATCATGGATTTATTGGAGGTAAAGTTGTATTTGTTTGTAATACATTGAATCTAGTTTTTCTGCTGAATCGTTTATCGTCTCTATTCTATGGTATATAAACAGCATTGTATCCACTAATTTAAATCTACGTGTAATGACACCTACATAGCTCTAGGACTCATGCAAGAGAGGGTCTCAGTACATATTCCAAAGTTGTTTCAAAAATAAATCGGATAACCTGAACGCTTAAATTTTAGTAACAAACGTTCAGGCTCTTCGATTGCATAACACATGATTGAGATAGCCGAGAGGATTGACGTTTCTACATCATTCACAAAACGTGTTGGGGATGGATCCTCAAATTTGTCAGTGTCTTAGCTACTGGAAAGTTTAGGCCACCCTGATGTATTTAAAAACAGTTTATTTCAGAATAAAACCTACCTTAATGAATACAGCTATACCAGGATCGATGTCCTATTATTTTTGTTTTGTTGATTTTCATTGTTGTGGCCTTCAAGTTAGCCTTCCTACTTGACCTGTTTTCATATTCTCACCTGTTATCTCTTTGTAACCTTTCATATGAATGCCTATGACAAGTACTTGTGTAATCAGATTGGTAAAGTGTGTTGTACAGATGCAGTACACTATTCAAACGAAGTTTGTTTACAGAACTAATTGGTTCAAATCTGTGTTATTTATTTGAGTAACCCATGAGGATTTGGTTCATTCGATGAAGCTACAGAAATGCAGGAAACCAAAAACGCGTTCTCTAAAGGGAACCATCTGTCCAATGGTCTCCTAGTTAACCAATACCGGTTCATGATGGAAGCTAACCTAAGCTACATATGTGTATGCTGTATAATTATGCATATGGAGCTCAGGTTCATTGGTTGAGTTAGTTGATTTCCAACCAATGGGTTTGGTCAACTCAGGTAGAGTGTCATTAGCCCTCACACAATAGCTGCGGTTCATTGCCTACTGACTGAATGACCGTGCACGTAGTCGCCAACTACATTTCAATTTGATTTTTTATAATAACTCCATGTCATTTCTAATTGTTGTAGGTTTTTTTTTTAAAGATCTGGTGATTGATTATGTATTGAATATGAAAGAACGGATTGACTCATACAATACTTCACTTAGTTCTTCTCAGCTGCTTTCTTGATGCTTTCAATGAAGCTGTACTAATAGGGTGTTTCCGTGCTATCCCTAAAGCAGTAGAAAAATTATAAACATTGAATTTAAAGCCATAAAATGATTGAGATTTAAAACAATATAAAAAGGTGTATACATCCTATGTATCTGCAACTTATGCACTTTGTAGTATGATGCTACAGTTTTGTGTCTGTTGATCTACTTTTCTCTATGTTTTCGGAAATTCTAGGGAAATAAATACAACGAAATTGTTTTGTTTTTCGTTTTCAATGATATATTATTATAATGTTTTTTAAATAATATTTTTTATCGACTTTAGGGGAAGTACGCCGAGATTTAGTTGCTGCGTCTACAGTTTATGCATATTTGGCCTGGCCTGTCAATGAATACTGTCCCGTGAATGATTTGATTGTTTGTGCATTAAATGGATCATCTAATCGTATAGAGTATGGTGGGAATGCCTGCAAATCTTTGTTGGCTCGTACAGCTGTAGAAGGAGATAGTGAAACTGAAGCACTAGCTTTTCATAAATCGTACAGTGTTCATGGGCTTCTGGGGATTAGTGTAGCTGGAACTTGCCCTGAAGCAGTCAGGGCCAGAATTAAGCGTATTGTTTCAGCATTACGTTCTGAGACTCTTACCGAAGAAAATCTCAAGCAAGCAAAGTAAGTTTCTCTTGAAAGCATTTTCATGGTTTGGTTTCTGACTTGCACCAATTTGCTCACAAACTGACGTCAGTTGAAAAAGGTGATGTGCACCACCTTGAAATCAATAAATCCCCACAAACTTACAAACTGAATTACTCATTAGTGAGATGGGTTTCTCAGAGTTCTAATGAAAAACCCGTGATCTGTGTGTAGTCAGTTGGGTCGGATATGAGGACAAATACTCACCGATGCCATTGGATGATGGTTGACCAAAAGCACAGATTGACAGAAGTAGAAAAATATGTACCATAGGATCCCGACCCAGTGACTGAATGGTAACGTGCTCACCGCAAGACATAAAGGTTTCGTGTTCGATCCCTGACGAGAGGGACTGGGAGTGTGTTCTGTTGAAGAGTCGCATACTAGGACAAAACGGTTGTTCAGCACTCCCAGGTTTTCAATACTTCTCCAACTGATGTCACCCCGTGATGAATACCACCTTGAAATCAATAAATCTATACGAACCTCCAAATTAAACAATCTACTTTCATTTCTCCCCACTGTCCACCAATTGTCAGCCACACTAATTGGATATATGCGCATAATGCAACTTACCTGGTTAAAATTGGATAAGCTAGAGAGTATTCATAGTTGAAAGGAATTATTTTGCTGTATATATCCTTGAACTTGTCGGTTTTACACTAAACAATACAGTGAAAGTGACAAATGTTTTGCGCCATACTTCATCGCCGCAAACTATTTTCATATCTCTGTAGTCATGTGTTTTCTGTCAACGTTAAACACTTTTTTATATTAAATTGCACAGTTCATGCAGAATTCTGTTATCCAATCAGGACAGTAAATAGGTAGCTATACGTTTTTCCTTGATTCATTTCATTTTTATTTTTTGGCAGACCTTCATACTTTACCTCTTGCTGACTTCTATCGCAGTGCTTTGATGTCAAATATGACAATTCGGATTGATAGGATCTAAGCTGTGATACATTTATCCACTTATATATCCTCAAAATTTTTCATATTTTTTATGATTAACTTGTCACTGTAATCCTGTTTTATCTTGTATTTTTTTTCTAGAAAAATTCTAAAGGCTGATCTTATGTTTAGATATGAAGATCCACTACATATACTTGTAGATATTTCTACCAATCTGCTTTCATCACCTGATAAGTGTAGAAAGCCGACTGAACTTGTTCCTGATGTCGATCAGATCAATTTAAGTACTCTTAATGAAGTAAGTGTGACATTGTTTATAAGTTGTTATACACTTGGTTTTGGTTTGGGCAGCCACATAGTATGATCAGCTCACACACAGTAGGTGTGGCTTATTACCTACTAGACAGATGTTCAGAAGGGGCTGACTGCGTCTTAGTCCAGTTTTAGTTAATTCGTGCATTTTGATATTACAGTCGAAATAACAAGTTTATAGACTTGTGCAGTTATAAGTTGTGAATCAACTACACCTATTGTATGAGAACTGATGGTACAACCAGGTTGCACACCTGGACTGAAATGAGTGTTTTGAATCTTCACGGCGTCATCCTGATAGTTTTGGTTTGAAGATCTGAAGCCACACAACCTCTATCAGTATTCTACTAATAGTGAAATGTACACCGTACATGTGCTGAGTATCAGATTAAACCTTTCCCTGTCTAAAAGTGCTGGTTATTTTTCATATTGGGGTTTACTGTCCTAGTGTAACCGTTTTAAACAAGTGTGCTTTTAGGAAAAGAAAGTTCTGCATCCTCACAATCTTCACTGGAGATATTTTTTTATTTTAAAACAGGGAAAGTGGATAAGATTTCTTTTTTTTATTGCTACGCACCCAAATATATAAATTAGTTAGTTGTCCATCCCATGTTGCTTTTCTGTAGATGGATGTTTCATAGACTGCATTGTCACATATATGATAAGAATCGCACCAAGAAAGGAAAATGGTTGATTCCGATTCCTTCTCTAAGGTTTAATAAAAGAAGAATATCATTACGGATCAGCTTCCTTATCATATGAAAAACGCATCATCAATATTATCTTCTGTAAAAGTCAACACGTTTTGTAATTTAACCAAACTGTGTTTTTTAGGTCCCACATAAAACAATCTACCAATAATGGTTCCAATGGTAACCCCATTGCAATTCTATCTATAGATTTCATTATTAAAACTAAATTAAACTTTAAATGTATACCTCGGCAAGAGCGCTGTCAAGCAACCATTTGGGAGTTCTACATCTCAGTGATGCATATCAATTCATTCACATATATAGCAACGGATGGTCTCGGTGAGTGGCACACTCGTGAACAATGAAACAATATCTAATGAAAATGTAGAACGTACGTACGCAACGTACTCAGCCATCTTGTGCACATTCGTGCAGTAGACAATGAGCCACACCTGTTATGTGAAGGCTAGTGATACTACCTCGGTAGGTGGAGCGGGGCTCAAACCCTTGACCCAAAGGTCAATAATCATCTCTTCAGACCACTAAGCCATAGCTCCATTCAAAATGCTTAGTGTCTTCAGTAAATTGAAATGTATCACAACTAGGAAAATTAGATACTTGCCTTCTAATAGGCTCGAGTATATCAGCTGGGCTTTAAGCAATATAATGATAAGGGGGATGAGCCTTATCCAGGAACAAACGAAGAGGTAATCTTGGCTGATTTATTTCGGGTAGTCCATGTAGATGTGGAGTTACGGAGCCAACCTGTTGGATGCGTTTATACCATTCACGGGAAACTATGAGATTAATCCTCAATACATTTTTGAGCTAGTTCCCAGTTTTTTTTGTGTCGTGTTGGTCTCTCACTAGAAGTTAGTCCTATAATCTAGATTCTAAGACCATTAATTTGAGATTGTTTATCAAAAACAGAAAGCGAAATACAGGATCATCTACAGTAATTGAGGTAGTACCGTCAGACCAGTGTACTTCACTCTGAACATCCCAGTCTATAAGAAAAGAGAAATCTTGTCACAACCATAGGAGAATTAAGTTGGAATTCACCATGAACTGACATCAGTTGCAGGGACATTGGGAACCCGGGAGCACTGAACATCTGTTTTGCCCTGGCATGGGACTCCCCGGGGATGCACACCCATGACCCCATCAGGGCTCGAACCCAGGACCTTCGGGTTCCGCTGTCTGCACGTTACCGTCAAGCCACTAGATCGGAATGCAGTGATCCACATTTCCTACTTCTTTCAGTTCACGGTATAGCGTGACGTTCATCCAATGTCGTCTCTGAGTAACTGTCCTGATGGTCGACTTGGTTGACTCCACTGATCACGACTTCTCATTGGAACTTCAAGAATCACCACTCGAAGCTAGTCACCAGTGAGCTCTAGATTAATTCTACCTGAAAGTTTGTAGAGGCGATTAACTCCAATTAATAAACCTCCAAGTAGCATAGGAGAATTAGTTTGACTAATATTTCATCCAAGATCCTGGGGTCCTCAGTTATCCGACGCCTAACTTCCGCTTGAGAACAGCAAACTCGGGAAAACTAGGCAGTTTCCAGACCTGAACAAGGGTGAGTCGATCATATTTTTACTCTACAACAGGTTCTGGAACACATGTAAGCCTATCGACAGTCGATACTTGTTACATTTTTCGACCTGAAGGTGACATTTGACTCAGTTGATCATGTGTTGTGGCAGTCTCTGACTGTGTATGGAGCTCCAAACAAGTATATAGTGCATATCAAAGCTCACTGTTCTGACTCACGCAGCCATGTAAGGACTCAGAGAATTGTCATATGAATTAATGACAACTAGTGGTATCTGCCTGGGATGCTCACTGTCACCGTTCCCACTTAACTTCGTCATAGTACTGATGGACTTAACATTAGGAAGTCATCTGGTTGATTTTGGACTGTGCAGATGATATTGTTCTCCTGGGTGGAGATGCGGACAAATTACAGAGTATTGTGAACGCGTTGAGCAGAAATCTGAATACGTTTGGCATGCATCTTGCTAGCACCTGTCAAATGTAAGATGACGCTCCATGACGTGTCTGCTTCAATGACTCCTAGTTTAATGATAGGAACTGAAGTGGTAGAATCTGTCGATCGCTTCACTTACTACTACTACTAATAATAATACCGTACATGAAGATGCAGTCTGTTGTATAATACCACAATAAAGGCTTCAAACCGTGCTCCATATTAAACTCATGCATTGTCACTAGTCGTATGAATAGATTTCTTGGAGAACTGTTGTGGGGGTAGCACACCTATAAACACTGTTTTCTTGTTCTAATTTTCATCTACCTAGAAAAAGGTGTGTTCTCAAAGTTGATATTCAACCGTCATAAGTTGAGAAGTAATCTGAGACCCGAGGTCGCCAAACTAAAACATGACACCAATGTATGAAGTCTTTGACTGTTGGTTTGAGGCATGTGGGTCGATGCAGACTAGTCGATTGGGGTCCACGGGACAAAAGGAACCAGTGGTTGGAGACCCTAGGTGATATGGCTCAGAACCGAAGTCAGTGGCGCAGATGTATACACACATTATCCTCATCTTAACGACGCTATAACGAATCTCACCATTTTCGCATTCTTCCTTTCTCTCTTTTCATACTTTATATTTCTTTTGACTGAATTTTTTTATCTTCATCTTGCACTTCACTACCTTTTTACTCATTATTATTATTATTTCTCCCTTGGGTTCCTAATGGAACACAGGGCTTCACTAGCACGTCTTCATTCCACTCTGTTCTAGCCAATCTTTTGAACCTGGCTCCACGACAGCCCACAAGTTCTCATTTCCTCCTCACACCATCTACTCCATGTCACCCTCACCTCGGACGCCCAACTCGTCGCTTCCCATCTGGGTTCCACTCGATGGCCTTACCGAGCGTATGATGTCCCCAGTCGGTTTTCTCAGTGTATGCCTAATCCATCTCCACTTCCACTTCCTTCCAGTGCATATTTGTTCAGCGATAGGTTCTTGATCGGTTCGTTGCAGGCCAGAGTTCCTTGTTGCTTATTCTTTCTGGACATCTGATCTGATCTTCAGTAACGAGCCAGTCAGCGTAGGCGGTTGTTGATGAATGTCTGTAGTTTGTTGGGAATCCCTTTTGTAACCCGCCAAGTCTTTGAGCCATACAGAAGCACTGACTTGACTTGATGTTGGTGTTGAAAAATGGGATGTTGTTCACGCTTTACGCTGAGTGCAGAAGATCTTCACACTGGATTCAGGTTAATGAACGTCTGTCTTGCTTTTCCAATCCTGGCTTTAACGTCCTCATCTGTGCCGCCACCTGTAGTTGAAACAGTGCTGCCTAGATAAGTGAAAGAGGCTACTTCCTTTAAGTTTCTCCCGTTCATGGTGACTGCAGCTTCTTGTTGTTGTTGTTGTTGTTGTTGGTTTGGCATCTTTATCACCTCTGTCTTGTCTACGTTCACTTGTAGTCTCGTCTTCGCTGCCCTGCCTCTTCTGTCAACTTGTTAGTTTTCACCTGTAGATCTTCAAGTTTGTGTGACATTAGACACAAGTCATCGTTGGGAAATCCAAATCTTCTAGGTTCTTTCCCACGGTCCAGCCATTGTATCCCCCTCTTCTCACAGCTCCTCACTGTTTGTTGCATGATCCAGTCGAGTCGACCACAATCAGGAATATCATGGGTGATAGTAGACAGCCTTGTTTCACTCCTGTCTTCACTTCACTTCGATGGCATCACTGAGCTGAGCTTCCCATTGTGAATTACTTGGCATGTGGAGTCTTCATATAGCTGTTGTTGAATGAGATCGATAAAGGTTTGTGGTATTCCGTAGTGTTGAAGCAGCAACTGCATGTCAAATTACTTGTCGGTCGACTCTGTCGAAGGCCTTTTCAAACTCGATGAAGCTGAGGTAGAGGGTTGGCTGCCATTCTATACTCTGTTCTATGATGATGCAAAGCGTTGCAATTTGGTTCGCACATGATCTGTACTTCCTGTTCCGGTGGTAATTTTGAATCCAGCACATCCTTTAGTCTCTCCAGGATGATGCGGCTTAATATTTTGCTTGCTCTGGGTGGACAGGAGCGTGATTCTGCACCAGTTCTTGCAAACACTTAGGTCTCCCTTCTTCGGCAGCTTGACAAGATAGCCCCTCTTCCAATCAACCAGCAAGTACCTTTACTTCCTTCCAGACCTTCTGCAACAGTGGTGTGGTGTGAGCATGTCCGCTGTTGTCTCTGCGTCTGCTCTCAATGCTTCTGGAGGGATTCCATATGGTCCTGCTGCTTTCCCACATTTCAGCAGCTTTATGGTGCTCACGACTTCGACGTTTGTTGGAGGAGTTGTGTTCACTTGTAGTTGTGTGACTGGGCTGTAAGTGGTATTTCTGGACGAAGTGCAGGTGGTGGTAGTGGTCGATTCAAGAGCTTTTTGAAGTGGTCAACCCATCGTTTTCTTTGTTTCTCTTCTTCCGTAATTAAATTTCCGTCATCTTTTATTGGTTTCCTCTGTGTTGATCTCTTCCCAGATAGCAACCTGGTTATTTGATACAATGTAGTCAGGTCTCTGTCTCTCCTACCAGCCGGCAGGCTGTTCTGCTTCGCACCTTTTTACTTGATTTACTGATATGAGGTGTGGCAAGTGGGACCGTTACTCAGTGATGCCTGGTCGTATGTTGATGTTGATGATCATGAATCTGAATAGTGGCACGTAAGCTAAAAATCAACAAGTACAATTATTTTCATCAAGTCAGTATTAATTTCAGTATTCTTTTCGCATAGTTGAGGTGTGTATTAGTTAAGCTTTATGTTTACCTAAAAGATAATTTTAAAAAAGGCAATCTCCGCTATAAGTGCTTTATAATCACTCCCACGATAACCTAGCATAGTGCATTAAGCATACATGATCTGATGCATGTAACAGAATAGTCAAAGTGAAACTTCTTGACTTGACCATCATGATTCGTTTAGCCTCCAAAGGTATGTGCTGTTTTGATAGCAAAGATAAAGCAACAATATGGTTTCAGATCGTAAGTCACTTTTCACCGTGTTATTGTTTCATCTTAGCAAGATTAATTGTTTTCCCCATACTTTCGACATAAAATGTCCACTGGACACTGTAGCACTCAACATTAAGCTTCGTCTGATACTTGAAAAATACCCATACCACTACATCTGCATCTTCCTTTTCATCTGTCCTCAAGGAAGACAAGAGGAAAATAAATTGAACTTTACACACGTCTAACATCATCATACAAAAAAACCAGCCCTACCTTATTTAGCTTATATGGTGTATAGCGAAAACCATGTTGGCAATTATCTTATCAACTTAATAATAGCAAACAGTGGTCATAACCCTGCAGTCATTAGGCAGTTAAACAATTCTATTGTTAGCCATTTTCATTATTAATTTGTTTGAAAAATGTTCTACAACGAGTAAATGTTTGCAATATTACATGCTGCGAGTTCTGTGCTGTAAACAAAATTAGTAAATACATACTATTCTTATTATTATCATCATTAATTAGTCCTTATGTGACTTCAGTTTACTTCGTTCAAGATGATTCTACAGTTGAGTTATTTAGATCTTGGCTGATCATATGGGGAAGTGGATTCAGAACGCTAATTTGTCTTAGAAAAGTAGACAATGTAATTCTGTGTGTTCACTTTTAACCGATTCCTATAGATTTGATTTGCTTTATACCTTAAATGACTGAACATTGCTCTACAGTGTTTTTGTCCAATGCTGAATATTTGGGAACATCAGTCATGAGTTTATCGACGTACAGATATCCTTCAACTTTGAAGTCGATGAGTGTTAGTCTGTAGTGATGTAGAGATTGATAGGAATTAGTGCTCGAAGTTTCTCAGCGACATGATTAGCAATTGGTTACTGTGACACTAATGCATACAGTCTTTCCTCCTTCCTTTCATACACACTATCTACTACAGTCTCCAACTTTTTTTATTCGCTTCCTCATTGTTTACTTTTATGAAGTATTGCAACTTGAACTGATATAGTTCTCTACGATATTGATTTGTCTGGGGTAAGTTAGAGATTGATGTTCCTTGTTGCATATATTATATGTATGTCGTAATTTTGTATAAAAATGTTGAATTTTCAGTAGCAATATCTTTTTAATTGTTTTGCTTATTTCTCTGTTTTGTCTATTTATAAAATTACAGGCTATGAAGAAAATTGTAAACAATCAGCAAGTTGCATTTTCATTGGTTGGTCCCAATCTAGGAGTTATTGAACCAGCTCAAGTATTACTCAAGGTGTAATCATGTGAACAATCTATTCAATGCCAATGTTTCTGTCTCTGTTATAATTTTCTCTTCTGCTTTATGCGAATACTTTTACACCTAACTATCCAACTATCAAAGTCACTTAGTATTGAGTTGTTTTGAACGACTATTTGTATACACTTAGGTTTCTTTACTTATTACACTTCTTTGCATATAGGCTCAGCTTAGTACTACACATAATTATACTAAAACTCTTAATCTTTTCTGATGCATGAAAAGTTGTTGAGATAAAGTGTTCTTTTTTTTGAAATAATTTTATTGTATATTTCAGTTGATGGGTTCACGGTTCCTGTTTATTCATATACGGTATAAGACAGACACAATGTGGTGTAGATTTGCATACAAAGGTCGATCTCGCCATACTTAGCTACGTTGCACAGACGCTTAATGTATTTACACCACACCAATGGTGGTGTACAACTCGCTCAGTTGATATAAGAACCGATTATATGCAGTTATATTAAGATGACTTTTTATTACAAACTGTCTAATTTAATCATAGAGTCCATTGATTTGCTGCAATCGGGTAGAAAATTATCAAGAGCTGTGGCTTACTGTTTTGAATAGTTGACTATTAACCACTTAGTCATGGGTTTGAATCCCTTCCACCTACTGCTAGTAGTAGTATCATTAGCACACCCAATAGATCTAACTCATTGCCTAGTCTACAAAACATGCCCTTTGAGTCATTGAAAAGAGATAATTCAGCGAAGAAAGTTTTCTTTTTCGACGATATCATTTTCTAAATCTGTACAATCGTATATATATATATATATATATATATATATATATATATATATATATATATATATATATATATCAAAGGCGATACGGCAGCAGAGATCCTGAAGAATCGGCTGTCCAGATCACTGAAGAAGACATTTTTCTCTGCAAAACTGCTGATCAGCTTCTCTAGTCAACATCTCATTCCGTTAAGGACAAGTTGCCACTTTGGGCCACCTCGACGTGTGTCTACAAATTTACTTGCTCCTGTGGAGCTAGCTATATAGGCCGCACAAAGCGCACGCTTTCCAAACGTATCTCGGAGCACTATCCTGCATGGTTGTCGAGAGGAGAATGTAAATCAATTAACAGTTCAGTTCTTGAACATTTGGTCAACTTTGGACATACAGCTAGACCAGAATCTCCCTTCAATATCATTTATCGTGTCAGATAGAATAGTTGAAAAGGAGTAAGCCTTCGACAGTTGTGCACATCAGAGGCACTGGCAATTCATCAATTCAAGCCTGATCTCTGCGTGCAAAAGAAGTATGTTCAATCTCTCATCTTACCATGGTCTTAACACTTTCATTTTTTTCGATTTCATTATAATTAATTAGTTTATTATTATTACCTTCATTATGACCCTTGTCTCATTCTTCCCCTTCTTTACACCTATCTGTTGTCAAGTGGACACTCAATATTTGCGTTTCTCATCTACCAACAATTTTCACCTTGTCAAACTCCTTACCTTCCTCGATATTTCTACTGTCTTAGTTTATTACGCAACTACTTTGCATTCTTGATTCCGGTTGTTTCTTAGCACTGGGTTAATGATGTAATTATACCCTATTGTTTTATAATAGACTGTTATATGTTTATGATATATATAAATACGACTGTACAGCTTTAGAAAATGATATCGTCGAAAAAGAAAATTTTCTTCACTGAATTATCTCTTCTCATTGCCTAGTATCTTTGCTCATAAACTTATATACATACTGCTAACGGAATCTGCTGAATACACAAACCCACTAGTGGGGCTGCGATGAAACTAGTTTAAAAAACAACCCATAGTAGTCAACCATCCTTTTTACTTTGCAGACAAATCAGAGATTGGTTAAAATCATCCAGAATTAAAAGACCTGACAGCGCAGCATATTGACGGTAATACTCGCTGTTTATATATTTTGACTAAAAGTCTTAGTGTGTATACACGTAACGTGCATAAGTTTGCTCAGAAGCCTATTCTGTTTAAGTTAACATGCCGTAGTCTAATTTCCAAATGACCAGTTAACAATTAGACGGTCAGTTTCTGTTTGCTATTCAAGCTTAGCTAAACTACTGTCTACACGCATATGCAACTTCAATACGCTTTATCTCTCTCTTTTAGCAAAACACTGTCAGGTAGATGGTACAGTATTTCTGAATAAGTACTAAGTGTAAAAATTTCTACCAAAAGATACAAATCGTAAATCAAGCAAAGCTTCACGATAGTTACTTGTTAGTAGCTAAACTAAGTGCATCTCAGTTTTGATTTCTTTTGGCTTAGCTGTCTCTCTCTCTCAGTATAAGTGAATTTTGTCTGATATTCGTTCGAATATATTTTAATGAAAGTATGGAGTGTGTTAGTTCCTCCTGTTAGTCTTATTCCTTTCGACGAGTTCATGAAACTTAGATTACTCTTGCAGATGTCATCAAATAGAGACTGTGGTTAAGATGGGACTTTTTGACAGGTCAGGGAATTCCTCGACCCTTATTGTACAACTACCAATTATATTCACCTACTTTTTTTTTTAACCCACTACCGCTTTTCACCTCATACAAATCTCTTTATAATTGATATGATTGACAACAGATAACTTGGTTTCTGGTTATTGTTCATGACGCGTTTCAGTCTTAATGGGACTAGCATCACTCGCTTGGAGACAGGTATATCCAACTGACGAGTCCCAAATAAGGCGAAACACGCGTTTTGAACTCAACTGCTAACCACTATCTGTCAATAATATGAAATTTTTCATACTTGTTTACGATCCCTTAGTTTTTTGCTAGGTTTCTATTGTATTTAAGCTGTGGATAACCCTTTGTCCTTTAGAGTGAATAATGTTGGATACGAGTTTTTGTTTAAACATTGACAGTGGGATACAAGTAAATGCATTCAGATGATGAATCTGAGGTGTAATGGAATATGCATACTGGATCGTAAGATATGGTAATTCGTCTATGAATTTCCGAAAGTTCCTTCTGTAGTCTACTAATTGATTAGTTTTGATAACTCAGAACTAGATGATCGGAACTTTTGAGGACAAGTAATCAATTGTTTCTTGAATTAGAGAGATGTTACGTAAAAGTGCATTTTCGGGGAGCATGCAATTAAATACGGTAAATATTTCTAGTATTTAGAAAAGAGGGATAATAGTAATAGGACTTGCTATCGAAAATCTGAAATCAGCATGTATGTAGGATGAAAAGAGGAGAAAGATTACAAAAACGGTACTAAGAATATTCAGCCAGTTCGATGAATACTAAGGCTGATTTCAACCAGTTACTGGATGGACACTCGTCTTGGAACGTTTATGTCACTTGTACTGAATGAGCCGCCCTCCATCTTCAGTCTGCTATGAAAACAACTAAGTACCACAGCTCACCCTTAGAAAAAGGTTTAAAATAACTATTTGATTTCAGTAGTTCTTTCCAAATTAGTGGGTAGATGTGAACACATTGTTGAATACTCTCTAGAACAACGAAGTACAGAAGCAGCTAATGGTTACGTCTGCAAGGATTTTACGCAATGACCGTTAGCTATAGCGGGCAGCGAGGACTAAAGAGATGGAAGCAACAGTGACGATAGATAACAGTAAGTAGTCATTTAGACTGATCAAGTAGACATTCTCGAAAGTGATATATCCTTGTGGTAGATATACGTAGGGTCCCTCAAAGACAGGAAAGAAACGGCAAAAACGATAAAGGTTTTATTGTCCGGTCGGAACAGAACAATATATATATATATATATATATATATATATATATATATATATATTTGTGGGTCTCCTAAGCCAAGTCGTTTGGCGCTGTTATGGCTCCGGATCAGAAAAATTCTGGCAGTTCACGCTGTTACGTGGAAATCGTCTTCTCACTGCTGTGGACTGTCCAGTAACATCGAGTGGTAAGATGTGAGGAGTACCATTTCGACTGTAGTTATGACGTTTTGGTCTTAGTAGATTTGCGTGTCTGCTTCAGATTTCTGGACCACCTTGCACTTCATAAAGTACGCTTCTGACTTCGTTTCTTACTATTCCCATGGGTTTTTAATCCCGGTAATTTCTGGCCATAACCTTGTCATCGGGCTGAAATTTCTTCCTTTTTGACTTAGACGTAAGCACCACAGATGCAGAAACAGTTCTTATTCGGCAACCAGGTACCCTCTGCAGGAGATTTGCTATTTGGTGCGTTGTGATTTGGATTGTTTCTGTGGCTTGCGAGGAATCCCAGCCAGCATTTACTTCTAGTGCACTTTGTAAGTTTAAACTTGCCCAAATTTGACCAAAAACCGGAAAAATTTACTTTGGGGTGAAATGGGGAAACGAACGATATGCTCCGAATTTTCAAAACCTTTTTCTCAAAATTTCTAAAGTTCGCTGGAAGTAGGTTCAGTCTAAGACTTGAAGTTTACATAGTGCACCCGGAGCCTAAATTCTGGCTGGGATCTGTTTGTGACAGTCCTCCTCCTTTCAATGAAGCATGTTTAAACGTATCCACAAACAGTTCTACTTGGTCATTTGATTGTGGGTAGTAAAGTGGAGATCGTAAGTGCTGGATTACATTTGTTTCCAAAACTGTGTTAGCGCTGCTGAAGCAAGTCGTGAGCCATTCTAGTTATTATGGTCTCGACGACGTAGAGGCAGTTATACAAACTAGCCAGTTTGGTAGCTTACTTCGTGAATTGTAGCATATAAGGACCTTCAGACCATTTTCTATGTGGGTCAACAATAATAAGATACATTTTTCATTGTATTACCCCTACAATGTCAACATGGAGTTTCGGTCGTCAGCATATATTGATGAACAAACCGTCGTGTTTTCTGCATATACGATTCAAAAGGAAGTGCAGAAAACCTTTACAAGCTACTGTAGACAATAACATCACCAGTGTGCTTCAGTAAATGCACATTGTGAATTACATGTTCCCTTCCATATAAAGCCTCAAACTTAACAACAGACTCACAGTACTGTCTGACAGCAAGTGTGAGAGA